CTGGAAGCTCCTGTCGTCAAGTCAAATTCCTTGTGTGTGTAAACATACTTGGTAATAAAGCTCTTCTGATTCTGATTCTGATTCTGATCTATTCGCTGAGTTTCGGTTCATTTTTGTGAAGCGCTCCTGTACAAGACCGAGACGGCAGAAAGCACATCGTGTGTGTTTTCTTTATTTTATAAAAGCACAACGTTTTGTTGATATTGTGAGTGCACACAAATAAAAGTAGACCCTTTACAGCTACGAATGATGTATTACTCTTACCTTTATGAGCAAAAATGACGCCGTAGCCTATTTTAAGTTGTTTCCATGCTCTGAAATAATGCAAGTGATGGCGCTGGCGCCTCCATGTCCTGCAAAGCGCGCTTCAGCTTCCACTCTCCGCACAAACTAATGGATATAGCGCACATTTATCTAGGTTTAACGTTTAAAAATTGTTATATGCTTGAACTGTTTTATATCTATAGATTTTATTTTAGGCAAGTCGTGATGATTTGAGAAGGCAAAAAAACAACAACTTATATTTAACGAACAGAAAATGCTCCAAACGTTTTTCTAAAATTACTTAATAAAAAAACGAAATGAAATATAATCACGTTGCCATTACATACAAAACTGAACTATTTTAATATAGCTGAAACCCTAGTATAAGCTGTTTTGGGAGAAGGGGAAAAAAAAGACGGGCTCGAGCCCGTAAACAAAACTGAACTATTTTAATAGCTGAAACAGTAGTATAAGCTGTTTTGGGAGAAGGGGAAAAAAAGACGGGCTCGGGTCGGTAATTCTAATAAGCTGCCGGACAAGGGCCGGGCTAGGGCCCAAATTTGAGGCCCGTGCAGGGCTCTACAGCTTACTACTTTTCAAACTAATCACATAAAAGATATTAAGGCTGAAGTTTTGGATCCAAACGCAAGAAGGCAGCAGAGCTCACTCTACACTTCAAGACTCAATTTTTATTATTTTTAAATACTTTTCAATTACTAAGTTACTTTAAAATAATTTTAAGTAGCCTACTCTTTTTAAATACTATTTATAACGATAACAGCTCAAACAAAAAGCACAAGAAAAAAAATATAAAAAATATAGTCTGCAAACAGTGATCATCAGTACCCTAACCCTAACTCTTCAAAAAAAATTAAGAGACAAATTATATTGTGTACTCATTTTAATGCAATTATGTCTGGCTACTGACAAATATGTACTCAATCATTAATATATATATATATATAAATTAAGGTACTATTTTTTGATCTGTAAGCATGTTGGAGATCACATTAGTTTTCTTTGCAAACTAATTCTATTTGAACTGATTACTGTAATATCCTGTGGTTAGTCCCCCTCTAGTGGACAAGTGTTAGAGCCTTCTGTCACTCACATTGATATAAATGGCTGATCATATAGAAACAGCTGAAACCCCCAGCTTCAGAAATTCACTGACATTTTGTATATTTTTATATATTTTTCGTGTATACCAAGTTTTGTGAAGTTTGTACATTGTGTTTTCAAGAAATAGGCCAAATAGTCATTATAAACCACCACACCAAATATATCAGCCCATATCTGCTAAACAATTAAATTAAACAAGTCTTTTGATAACTTTTTGTAAACAGTATCTCAAAATGGTGTTTTGTGCAAACCAGACAAACGGCCTAGGATGAGTTTGAAAATGTTTCTTAAAGTGGCGTAAAATGTTTTGTACAAAGATTCTCACAAACTGTAGCACAGCCTCATGTATCTTGTACACACAGAACATAGTACATTTCATAACATTATCAGCCGTAGTAAATTGGCTAATAACTTTGATAAACCAATGTTCTTTTGGAAACTTTTAGTCATGAGAGTCTTGTAACAATGATTTAGAGAACATTTTTGATCCTAGTCCTTTAGAGAAAAATAATAATTGGCAACACACAGTATACAAGTACAACAGTGTTTGAGGCTTGGGCCCCTAATTATGATTTTCTGCAATGCATGGCTAAGCATGGGTTTTTGTTTGAATGCAACTGTCACAGAAAATACAGAACATCTTGGATGACACTTATTAAAAGCTGAGCACATTTAATCAAAATGTGATCAAAATGGCCATGCTACCAGAAATTATTAATGCTATTTGCATTGAGTATGTTCGGTTCAAATTGTTTTATTACTCTAATTATTTTTTGTGCTTACAAACATTTTTGGACCGAAGAGAGAGAGCGAGAACAAAAAATGCACAAGACACACACGCACACACACACACACACACACACACACACACACAAACAAGCTCTGTTGTAAAATTACACTTTGAGCAACATACTTACATTAATTATTGTATTAAAAAGCCATTTAACAAGGATGCATTTAAAAATATGAAACCTTGCTAGTACATTTTATAAAGGCAAAAAATAAAAATTTTTGGTCATAATTAATTAAAAACCCAACAAAAATAATGTCCAGTCAATAGGAACGTGAGAAAAGGGTCTAGCATTATTTGTTTGCACATGCCACTTCTGATATTGTATTCATGGAACTAAAAGTGAAGAGTCGGTGTATGAATGAGAGCGGCTGTGTGTGTGTGTGTGTGTGTGTGTGTGTGTGTGTGTGTGTGTGTGTGTGTGTGTGTGAGAGAGTATGTGTGTGTGTGTGTGAGTGAGTGTGATTGAGTGTGTGTGTGTGTGTGTGCGAGTGTGTGAGGGGCTCCAGTAATGAGCAGAGGCGCTATTCACAGCGCTGTCCCGTTACCTCATTGACATTCAGTCCCAGTGAGAGACACAGAGAGAGAGTACGAAGACATTGTCCGGGACAGAGACAGCAGTTGTACTGATGTAGTTGCTACATAGCGACAGCAAATGGACATTTTGAGCGGAATGAAGATTAAAGTTTGATGTGAGCATGAACGAGCGTGATCTGAGGAACACTGAGTGTGTTCTGACCTGGATTCAGTGAAGAGTTTGGGAGAGACAGGGCGAGGGGTGAGGGGTGGACGAGGGATTTACTGGGTCAAACAAACCGACTACCCCCACCACTGAAGAAGAAGGGAAAGTCAGAGGAGGACTAAGAAGAAAAAACACCAGACAAAGCACCAAGGAAACCATGAACACTGAAAAGGTAGGAAAATTCCTCCATATAACACAGAACACCGGAGTTCAATCACATAACAATACAATGAAACTAATAATCTGCTAAATGACTCTCAGTGCAACAAGTGCCATTTGAAAGAAATATGCAAATGCGATTATTAACCCACTGATGGACGTGATTGGCATTGCAAATTCTCAGACTGATAAAGTTGCATTGCTTGCTAAACTTTGAATGGTTTTTCAGCCCGATGAATTGATTGGCTGATTATGAACTATTGCATTGAGAAGCAGCAATATTTAAAAGAACATCTATCTATTGAAATGTCATGTTTATATCATCTCATCACGTGTTTTCCTTTCACTGTTACATTAGCAGAATCTAATCGCCACATTTAGCTCATATTTCATCTCTATGTCATTGCAATAACATCACTTTAATCACCAACTCTAACAGGGAACAGGTGTCAACTATGAGAAAAAAATTAGAAACACCAATTTTTGCTACATCTTAATGCTATTTATTTATTTATTTATGTGGCAATACAGAGCAAAAATATGCACACAATTATATATTCACTGAAGATTAAAGTTTCATGTAGTGAGTAGAAATTAAATCTGTTTCTGTGTGGAGTTAGTCCTAAAGATCCATATTCAATAATCCATAATGTGTTTTGAGGTCATCTACTTTTAATTGTACTTGTAACTTTTGGCAGAGGCATTCACTTAAAATATAGTCTTTCTCTTCCAGGAAAATGGACTTAAATTCAGATGACTCATGTTGCACTCAGAGCTGCTGACACATTTTTGTCCAATCAAATGTGCTCTAGTATAGGAATGTCCCGCCCCCCGATTTCACTTAGAAATAGCAAATCATGGTTAATGGCTGTGATGTAAACTAAAGGCTGACTGTTTGAAACAAGGGATGAGCCCTTGTCACTGAGGCAGAATTAAGACTTAAAGGGAAAACTTTGTGTGTGCATAGTTAGTAAGCATGCTGACATCATCCATAGCAACGAGCTCAACCCCGTCCCCTTACTCTGAGTTTAAGACGTCTCTCTATTCCTTAGTAAAAGTTTGTCTCAGCAGCTTTGTGAATAGGTTTTAAGAGAAAACTCTTAGCTAAGAACTTTTACTTGTATTTAGGAGAACATTAGATAAAATGTTTTGTGAAAATGGGCCCTGGTCTGCACAAAAATATTAGGCTTATTTATGAATGAACCACTTGTTTTAAAATCTTTCATTTACTCTAAAATAAGTAAATCCACTTCACCAGCTAATTACTCTTCAACAGTGATGCTATAGATGGCTGCACATTTGTTTCTCTGACGCATAAGGCCTGTACAGTGTTCATTCAACATTTTTTCCTGAAATGCTTTAGTTGGATGTTTATCCAAATACAGAGTTCTGGCATGAAACTCTAGATGGCGCAGTCTGATAAGTCTAACTCAATCTGACATAATGAAATCATTATCACATGGCACAGCTGATTGGTTCTCTTCTGTATCAGTAGCCAATGAGCTCACTGCTCAACATTCAAATATATGACTAGTGCTTGCGGCATGGCCTCAGCATGGCGGCGTGGGTATATCGTTCCCCAACTCTCACACGAGAGGGGAGCTCGGACCTACAGCATGTTCCAATGCTGGAACGGCTAGCAATAATTTACTTAGCTGAGGGAGCAACACACCCAGCTCTAAAACGAGAGGGAGGCTCGGACCTACAGCATGTTCCAATACTGGAACTGCCAGCAGTAAAGTTACCTAGCTGAGGGAACACAGACCCAGCTCTCAACGAGAGAGGGGGCTCGCCCAGCATGATTGTTAGAATCAGAGGTAAGTGTACTGCAAGCTAGCCAAAAACTCAGCACATCAGAGAGGCGGATTTGGAAGGGCCTAGTTCACCTGATGCTACTGGTTCCAGGCGCTCTGGGAAAACAGAGAACTCAACTGTCACGTGAGAGGAGAACTCCGAACTCAGAAAGAATAGCGCGCTCACGGGCCAGATGTGGGCCGGATTTGGGCCGAAACTGTCTGCTGTCTGGGTATAACGCGTAACCCTTACCGTACAGGATTTCAGAAAGTGCGCAAAGTCTAGCATGCATCATCCAGGAATTTTTTGCAGTGTCGTGCCAGGGGCCTGATGATCACGAAGGCTCCCGCAGAAGCCTCTGACCTGGCCGCATGGTCCAGGAA